TTTTGCGACAATGGACATTCGGGTGTCTTGAGCATAGCAGGAATCAGGGATTTCAATAGTTCCAAAGCGGCCAAGCTCTTCTTCTGAAACTTGAGGTTCTTGGAAAACTCCGTCAAGCATACGATCAGATCGGTGAAGGCGCCCTGGGAAACAACGACTCCAAACTTGGTCTTGTACACCTGGTTGACGTTTTCGTAGGCCAAATTGACAATGCTCTCGTGAGGATCACGAGCAGCAACTGTGAAAACACCAAACATGGTCCGCCAGCCTGATCGGATGTTATCTCCACGGGCCTGGATCATTTGTATCAGACATCTGAGAACCATGTCTTTGACAGTTACATTATGCGAGTTGGCAAGGACATGCTCAAAAGGCTTCAGGAAATCTTTCTGGAACTTGAAACCAGCGAGCTCTTCAATCTCCATGAATCTCATTGACAGCTGACGTAGAGAATCAAGAGCGAAGAACACAATGTTCATGTTATTGTGGCATCCAACACGGTTGAAGTGCTCACCAAAAACTTCCCAAATGTTGCTCCATTCGAATCTTACACGGTTCATGTTGTAATAGCTGATTTCAACAATCTTTTGCAAGCTGTATGTACGAGGTGAGTCGTTGGAACCAGATACCTTGATCTCATCCCAACTGACTTCTGTCAAAGCTCTGGCGAAGTAAACCATGGACTCGCCGGTAAGAGTTGCGGTATTGGTGAAGATGCGGTCGACGCTACGAATCACCTCATCTGAGCGACTCTCCAGGGCAATCTCGGTGGAGAAGCCCTTGGATGCAGTTCCTGCTCTGGCCCGTGTGGTTTTCTTGGAGTTTGATGAAGAGCGAGAATCAGAGGTCTCTGACCTCTGTGGTGGCAGGAAACGAGCTTTAGACACATCAGGCACAGCACTCTCGTCGACTCCACCCGAGATGAGTTGAAGTCGATCGAGTTGACTGATACACATCAGGATGTCCTTCCATGACTCACGAAGAACGTTGCCCTCAGTCTGTCCCAGCTCGAGAACGACCTTGAGTGCCTCAATATTCTTGGCCAACATTTCCTGTGGGTTGTTCAAGTTCGTTGTATTTTTCAAGGCCGACATGAAAGCCTCTCTGGGTGTCGACAGATCAAAGAAGCAGGCAATTTGAGTGGCGAGCTTCATACCCTCTAGGCACAGCTTGTTGACTTCAAGATTGTGAGACTTCTGGATCTGGCTTGAGAGTGTAGAGAATATTGACATCCAGGTGACGTTAAACATTGGGCTGACATGTTTGAACGACGTTGCAAGTATGTACTTTGTGCCGGCTTTGCGGCGTTGGCTCTTGAACAGGTCCTTGAAGAGCTGCTCAGAACGCAGAGCAATTTCCTCGGATTGTTGCATATAGGCCTCACGCTGCAAATCGCGGCCCACGTTAGAAAGAGCTTGGCCAAGGCCAGCAGCGATACCGGTTGATGGGGCGGGGGTATTGCCAGCCGCTGCGGCAGCGTCACGTTCACTCTTCAGGACGATTTCGTTGGCGGCGATTTCGTCATAGATGCCGAGGAGATATTCATCGGGTAAATCAGCATTGTCGTTGATACCGCGGTTGTTCTTAATAAATTCCTCCTTGCTCATGCGCTTGGCGATCTTGACGCTATGCAAATCAGTGTTGAGCAAGATGACTGAATAGGCCAGCACGTATGCTGTGTCTGCATTGGCAAAGGCATTTGGGTTTCCGAGGACGTAACGTTCCGCGAATTTCAGCATGAATCGATCAATCTTCTGAGCTTCACCAGGCAGACGGAAGGACTGGAGGAATTGGCGCAAAGAATCAACGAATCTTCTCTTGGCAAATTCCATGGTATCGACAAATGCGTGCATGATGTCAATGTTCTTCTGGTCACCTTCGCCCAAGTACTCGCCGATTTGCGCTTTATCGAGCTTGTCCTCCTTTATCAAAAACTCGGCAATATCCTTTGGGCTGTCACTCGGGATGAAGCCATCGCGCAGAAGCATCTGGATACCCTTCTTCGGCTTGAAATTAAATTGGTTAATTGCTTTCATCAGGGCTGTCTTCCTTGCCTTTTCCTTCTCCAGTTGATCCGGGTCATCCTCCAATATAGGGGTTGATGGTGGTAGAGGGGTTTCGACACGAGAGATGCTGTCATTGATACTTGGATCAATTGACGGTCGAAGATCGAGAGAAGCCTTGGGATCGTGGTTCTCGGAGCGTGGAGGCTCTGGATCACCTCGGATGGGTGCCGACCAATTCACCATGGATCGTAAAGTCTCAACTAAAGCTTCGATAGATAGGCGCTTGATTGCATACTCTTTAGGATAGTCAGGTTCGGTTTCCTGATGAGGAGCAATATGAGCAACGGTCAGAGGGGGCGGAAGTGTTGCCTTGAGCTGCCACTCGCTCGCAGGCGTTGTCTTTAGTCGCATCTCTTCATAGACTTGTTCGTTGATTGTAGTAATAGTAAGCGGAGTGGTAGAGAACTTTGATAGGTCTTCGATGATGGTTTGGTAAATATTATCGACTGTCTGGTCACAGTCGTAATTAAGGTAAATTTCAACAAGTGCCTTAGGATCAGCGCATAATCTGTTCAGAATTGTAACAAACTGCAACTTTTGAGAAAGAGGCGCAGTCCTTCGCGCAAGCAGTGCTAGGTAGATTTCATTCAAAAATACCTCGATCTCTTTCTGTCATCCTTGTAAGTTATCTCATCTTTTATGTGCATACGTCAGTCTTACCTTGAAGTCGGCACGCATATATTTAATCATCAGCCAGAAGATCTCGCTGCTAACGTTGAATATCCGGTCCACAGAGCTGGCACCGTTGCGCGTGATACTTAGACAAAGGTAGAACTTGATAGCCTGAAGAAAACTCGTTGGCTCGCCGCTTTTTGAATTCTTGATAGTACAAAATGGAGAGGTGAAAACTGCAATGTTGTTGTTAAGAAGGGTGTGAATAAGGTGAAGAGAAATGAGTTTGGAGCGCATTGGCTGGCCACGGACGTCGTAAAGCTGGTCGGATGGTAGAACCTTGGTTGACAGGTTGCAAAAGGAGCGAAAGACGAGGTAAGCATCACGGATGTAGACCTCGTCCTCAGCGTCCAACACCTCGCCATCCTCCAGAGGTGAAGACTCATGACCGGCCTGGTCAGAGACCGGGGTGCCTGTTTCCTTGCGCTCGGGTTGAAGTCTCGTTACCATGGTAGGACCGTCACCTAGGTTCGAATCGTCAAAACTCTTGCGATGCTCGAGATCTTTTAATGTAAGCTTGGCACCACTCTCGGGAGGCTCGGCCGACGCATTCGCAGCTTCGGAGTGTTCAGCTGGGGATTCGTCGCGGTCGTGATGGTCATTGGCACCGTTTGGGGTATCGGCCTGGTCGAACGTGACATTGCTGGCTCCATGCTTGAGATGCTCCAGGTTCAGGCGAGCCTCCTTCATATGTAATCTCGTCTTGACTCGTTCAAAAACAGTACCGACCATCTGGGTCAAGGTCCCCTGGGCAACCTGCTGGTTGGCCGTGCTCCGCGACAACAAAAAGACATTATAGACTTGGCGGACGGCCTTAAGGAGACCAGCACCATGAACGACGATTTTGTCATTGAGAACAGCGGCAAGCAAGGACTTGACAATCTGAAGCTGGATCTCAACAGCCGTCGTTTCGCCTTGGAAGCAATTGCATATCGTATCAATCGCTCGCTCGATCAGGGGAGGGGCAGGTTCGGCACCCTCTTCGGTTCCCTCGGGGGGGTTACTTGGAACGGAAAAGTATGAGTATGAGATGAGCTTGCCGATGCAATCGAGTGCGGTCGTAGTAAGCTGGACATTTGTGGATCGAGAAGCTAGCTGTAGAGGAGCGAAAACGATCTCGGGATCAGGAAGCTGGTCCTGTTCTTTGATGGCTTCAAGTGCTTTGGTAGTAGAGTCGGCTAGTTGCTTGTTGCGCTGAGCATCCTTGGACGAGGCAATGGCCTCTAGTGAGGACACTACAAATTTGAGGGAGCTCATGGGGGAGCGCAAAAAGGGCCAGTGGCCATTCGCTTAGGGTGCAGAGGGTCGAGAAGATTGAAGTCGAAGGAGAGAGGTTGTAAAGCTGATGTCGCTCCCTGGGCAATTAAAGAAAGGAGACGTGGGCGCTGCGGGAGAGGGAGCTAAGTTCATGTGTCTCCAACGTAAAGGAACCTTTAAAGTCTCGGCGCAGCCCACAGATTGAACTTGAATTACGGCTGTGGGTATACAGATTGGACAGAAGCCAACAAAAATGATGAGAGAAGAGGGAAATAGCCCGTGTCTTGGTGTTGTTGTCAGCTTCTGACCCTTCTCAAAGCTATTACGCTGCAACAAGTACAGTACCAGGGGTACGAAGTCAAAGTGGACAGCGTTTCCAGAGGCTCCGCTTCCCGAAAATGAGCTCTAACTACGGGACCCCTAGCCCAGGGAAGGCCTCGTAAGCTGCCCGCCAATTAGCGGCCAAGAATGGACGTAGTGTCTTCTCAGACAGGTACCAGTACAACTCTCTAAGTCATTTCAATAGCCACATGTGGCTGAGGGAATGCTTAATCATCTTAGTGCTCTTAGCCTGCAGGAAAAAGATTCATGGAGACAGATGTGGAAGTATTTTTGCTGTGTTGCCTAAGTAAGATAGATCTATCTGAGAGATATCGAGAGGGCTTACTTAAATCAACAGCCAAGGAACTTCTCTCACGAAAGGCTAATTCAACTATAGTTTTTATTTTGGTTCAAGACGTATGCCAACTGTCGATTGCGGCTTATTCAAAATCTGCAGTGTATATGAGCTAACCTCTTAAGTTATGACATTCCTTACCTTATAGTGAGCAAAACTTCGGCATCTAATATGGGTGCCAAAAATAAGCATTCCAAAGACCTACCAAGTGGCTATCAAATTTGCTTGAGTCTATCTCAAGCTTACATAAGCTATTTTGTCACGCAAGTTTTCTTGCCTCCCCTAGACCTAACTCTGAGAGGTCGCCGTATAAGTTGCAAGTCAACAAAATGGAACAGAAACTGCTCGATTCGGCAAAAGGGCAGTTGGCTTTGCTTGACACTACCATACATGAAGTCAAGCAGTTCACCCAAGCTCTACAGTTGAAATCTAGATCGACATCTGGCTTACCAACTTTCTTACGCACATTGGAACGGGAAAATGCAACATTATCCAACCTTGTCACTGAATTAACAGTCTCAAGTACAAGTCTTGATGATTTGCAACGCACAAAACGAGAACAGAAGCTTGATGCGAGTGCCACCACAACAACACAGAGCATTGCTCAGTGGAACCGTCTCAAGAAAAGCCATAGCTTTGTTGCTATAAATCAGTCCTTTCAGGGCTCGTCAAAAGATTTGCGAAAACGGGAGATCCAAAAACGACAGGTCTCAGGGCAGGAGAAACACAATCTGCACCGACTCCTAAAAGAACAAGCTCGCGTTGAGGTCGATGTTGTTCAAGGAGGACGAGAATGGGTTGCTGCTAAAGCTATCTCTCGCGATAGACTCGCTCGCCAGTTGAACGATAGCGGATGGGGATGGGGTGACCATGAACTCGGCGATGAAGTCGACCGAGATGAGTGGGAGGATACCCCATTGGCAAAATACGTACAACGGCTGGTAAATGCTGCACGAATGAATCGTCACGAATACAGATTCCCTCAGATACGACTGGTTCTGACTGGTCTTAGTCGAGGTGAAAGGGAGCTTGACATAGTCCTTGATCAACTAGAACACATTGATCCACTGGTCAAAGTCATCATTGAAGATCAGGATAGCGACTTTGCCGCGGCATCCCCCCCTCCGCTTAACGAAGCTATTGACAATCTGGTTGGCGATGAGCTTGCATCACTCACATCCACCATCAACCTTGATCACACCATCCTCATCGATCTTATTTCCGACTTGACTCACCTCAGACTTGAACCCCAACCGTGGCAGTCGCGTACGACGCGTGCCCAGATAGACGAAGAGAACGCTCATGAAGGGGGTCTCATGTCTCGTGTATTGTACCCCGTGTTGACAGGCCGCAAGCTTGTATGTACCCGTGAAGCAGCGGATCATTTTCACGAAGTACTACGAACTGTTGGCACCGAGACTGAGCGCGAGCGAGGGAGATTATTGGTTCCCTGGGGTGACGATGTGAAAGGAACATCATCAGACCTCACGAGGCAGTGTTTTCAGCAGCTCACCATTTACCCCTTACCACCTGATATTCAGATACCTGTTTCCGTAATCGACGAGGCATGGGATATGCAAGCTATTGACGGTGGTATTTCCGACGGGTCCCTTCCTCAGGTCGCCCATGACGTAGCTTTGAGTAGTGGCTTCAAGAGCTCTAAGTTGTCTATCTTCATGTACGGGTGGGCGGCTAGCTTGACTACTGTTACGAGCAACAAGGAAGTCCGAGGGCAAATCCGAACTTGGGTGGAGGCGCATCGCAAGAGTGATGAAGAAACTGGGCCCCAAATATTTCGGTTAGAAGTGACGAGGAACCTATTAGCCAAAGCTGCAAAGCCAAGAGAGGGATGGCAAGAGAAGGATGGGGCTGATGGCGATGATGATGATGAAGCATGATGCGCGTACTCTGTATCGAAATGTTCAAAACGTAGACAGGTAGACTAATACAGTCAGTCACTGGGTACGAATTCATATCCAAATCTTGATTGATAAGATAAGTCCGGTGCCGTACTCCGTAGGTTAGTAGTCATTGCACTAAACAGTTGACGTCTTAAATCCTCAAAGTCCACGTATGTCCGAGCATTATATAGTAATCGGACCAACCCTCAACCGAATCTTACTCTGGCAATCTAGAATCATTTAAGATTTACACTAATAATCAGCAGGAATCGCCTGCTTCTGCATCAGCAACTGCTGGGGGATCTTTACCATTTCCCTATAGGGTTAGCTTACACCACTGTCACTTATAGAATCTCGGTCTTTTGGCTCGGCCTTTTGCATCTCCACCGAATGATACTGCCCATATCCCCAGTCATTGTATCCCAGACATATACTTCAAATTACAGCTTTTCTCCAGACTATTCGCATTGTTGAATTTGCCGTGCCTGGCTGTTTTTTTTTGTTTGTTTCTTGGCCGAGTTCTTGAGGTCGATCCATCAAGTATGCCCGGCAATTCACCCCCAATCACACTCTCAACCCCCAGCTTCTTTTTTAATACTCCGCTAGATGCAAGTCAGGAGACCCTTACAGAAGCGACAGATCTGCAGGATACTTCCTTTGATCTATCGGCCGAAACAGCAACTGCCGGTGGTGGAACCGTGTCTTCGGCCGCCAAGACGGAGAAGAAGCGGCGCCGGCCGGCCCTCTCATGTGAGCAATGCCGGCGCCGCAAGATTCGATGTGATCGTAGTCTACCTTGCGTGAACTGCGTCAAATCCAAGATATCACCTTGTACTTATGCTCCAACTCACATACCAGCTTCACGTGTCAAGAAAGGTACAGGTAATGCTGGTAGTTCAGACTCAAACTCCCAGGTGCCGGCCAGGTCGGCCCCAGCCATTGGGTCTACCCAGAGACAGTCTCCATCAAACTCATCTGCAAGACAGAAATCCAGTAGCATCCCGAGCTCAACAATAGGATCTAACTCAGAAGCCTCTACAGTTGACGCTCTGGCTGCGAGGGTCAAGGAGCTGGAGCAGAAGCTAGCCGAGTCTTGTTACATCACACAACCGGGACAAGACCAGTTTATAGAGCCCGACGATCAGGAGGCGGAGTCGGCTCCTATGAAGGGGACTGTCTCTAAGACGAGGTTCTTTGGTCAAAGCCACTGGATGAACGGCATACATATGGTCAGTAGTCCATAGCGCGTAACAGAATCTTCCTAACCAGATCTTATAGTTCCCCGGTGTTTTTGAGATGCTCAAAGAGGCAGAGACTCGCAAGAATCAACACCACGCTGGTTTTGCCAAATGTAAAGCTCTGGGTCGCGCCATCAAAGCAAATCGTTACAAAGCTGTGTCGACTGACAAGTTGGGCGAGAATATTCCTGAGCGCGGCCTTGCCGATCAGCTCGTTAGTGCCTATTTTGACACTTTCGAGGGTGTAGTCCGGATTCTTCACCGTCCAACCTTCATGTCCGAGTATGAGCGATACTGGCAGAATCCTGAAGCCTCCAGTCAGGTTTTCCTGATTCAGCTCCAGCTATGTATGGCTATCGGGGCAACTCTTCACGATGATGTCTTCAGCTTGCGTGCGACTTCAATGCAGTGGGTCCATGAGGCCCAAATCTGGCTTGTGATACCACCTGAGAAGAGCAGAATGACTATCGCTGGTATCCAGATCATGTGTATGCTGGTCATCGCCAAAGCGTGTTGTGCGATTGGCCAGGACCTTACCTGGGTTTCGGCAGGCAGTCTGGTCAGACAGGCTATGTACATGGGATTGCATCGGGACCCAAGGCATCTTGGTAACATGTCCGTCTACCGTTCCGAGATCCGTCGCCGCCTCTGGGCAACCATCCTCGAGCTTAATCTACAATGCTCCTATGATGCTGGAGGGCCCCCTCTTCTCTCCTCGAAACACTACGATACACGTTCCCCAGCAGATTTGAACGATGATCAACTCACAGACGAGCCAGACTCTGATAGAAAACCAACTGGTAATCCCGAGACTCTGACTGACATGTCAGTCCAGCTGGCCCTCCAAAAGTCCTTTGCTCTTCGCCTCATCATTATCAAGCACGTCAACGAATTTAGATCCAAGGAGTCATATGCAGAGACACTCCGGCTGAACTCCGAACTCACAAAGGCATGTCGCACATTAACAGAGACACTCGCTGCTCTATCAGAAGCCCAGAGGCACCAGCCGCGAACAATCTTTACCCACTTCCACAGTTCTCTTGTTCAAATGTTCACATACCGTTGCTTCCTCTCTCTTCATCAACCAATGGTCGCCCGCTCCGCCTCCGATCCAACCTACTACTACTCTCGCAAAGTATTTCTCGACTCGTCTCTGAAGCTCGCGCAGATCACTGGCCTATCGACACCTCGTTACGGCACTTCTTCTCCTGGAGGCTCCCTGGACCCTGTAGTCAGCTTTAACCGCCTCATCACAAACGGAGCGGGCGTCTTCCGTGTGATCCCAACTCAAACGCTTTTCTCTGTTGCACTCGAATTTATCAAGAAGTCAGAGGAGCAGAATGATAGCCTCGGCGGCGGCCCTGTCATGAACCTCTTTGAACTTCGCGCCGTTCTCCAAAGTGCGGAGACTTGGTTTGAGAGACGTATACGTGCTGGAGAGACAGGCGTAAAAGGATATTGCTTCGTTGTTGTGTCTCTCGCCCTCGCCGAGGTCCTCGAAATGGGACTACCGCAGGAAGACGTCGATCAAGTAGTCGTTGATACAGGCGCTAGTATGAGTATAAAAGCCTACGACTTGCTGAAAGAAGTCGCCGAGAGAGAAGGTTTATCGCTTGACGAGCCTGAAGACGAAGAGGCTATACACATCGATGTGCCAGCGATTGATAGCGATGCCATGCAGGGCATTATGGAGATGCCTTTTGACTGGATGGTAATGGGTGGTGATCTTGGTCTAGATGGAATGGGGACTTTCAACTGGGCTCGAGGTGGCATGGGTATGCCTCAGCAGTTTGACTCTGTCGATCCATCCGTTGTATCACAATTTTGAACCTGGCGTTGAGGGATATGTAATGACTTGATGATAAAGGAAGATCTCACCTTGTATATTAATGTACCTGGGCACTTAACATGGCAGCCGCTTCTCTTCCCTACTAAGCTTATCTTGTGACCATCAAACCTGCTACTTTCTCTGCGGATCCTAGTCAATAAGTTAGACCATTACTATATCATGACAGCTAGAACTTGGTCTCCAGATGACCCATCTCAGCAATTGCTTCGCTCAGACCAAGCCATTGATCGCATGAGGGGAGAATCGTATATATATATATTCAAACTTTGTCGTGATGTATGCGGTATAAGCACAGTTTCAGTAGTCATACGGCGGTCGTAAAGCAGGCAATGGGAGGAAACATATAATGAGGGCATATGCAATAGATTCTTTGTCCAAAACACCCCCCAAGTTCGAAAAGATATAACATTATTAATCAATGGTCATTGTACACGGGCTTTTCCGGCCTCGTAAATCTTCCACGAATGCTGCGGCGTGATCAGACGAAGAAGCTCTGTGGGTGTCCTCATAGATGCTCATCGTCGTCGTGATTCACCGACCCTTACCCAGGAATGCTCTCATGGGTGTCCCCACGATATCCCAAGTAAACTCCTTACCGCATCCCCATCCCTCAGAGATCATCTCCTCCTGTTCTATAAAAAAGTCATTCCTCGCTGGACCAGCCCTTTCATCTTTCCCAGCATAATTCGGTTTTCAAGGGGTCACTTGACGCTACACCCCTAATTTACAGAAGAAGCTCAAGAGGGTTCTCAAGAACCTGCTTGAGCTCCTTGAGCCACTCAGCACCGACAGCACCGTCAACGACCTTGTGGTCGAAGCTGGCAGTAAGGGTGATTTGGTCGTCGAACTCAACACCGGCCTCGTTCTCAGCGGGGATGGCAACCTTCTTGGTGGTACCAACAGCGAGGATGGCAGCCTGGGGAGGGTTGATGACGGCAGTGAAGTGGTCAACAGCGGGGTTCATGCCCATGTTGGAGATGGAGATGGTACCACCCTGGTACTCCTCAGGCTTGAGCTTGCCATCACGAGCCTTCTTGGCGAGAGACTTGACCTGGCTAGAAATGGCCTCGAGGCCACGGCCCTCAACACCGGTGACAATAGGGGTGATGAGACCAGTAGGTGTGGAAACGGCAACAGAGACGTCGACGTTGTTGAACTGGCGGATGTTACCGTCCCGCCAGCTAGAGTTGACCTGGGGAACCTTGCGGCTGGCGACAGCGATAGCCTTGATGAGGAAATCATTGACGGAGAGCTTGTACTTGCCGTCGGCAGAGCTGTTCAGAGCCTGGCGGAGCTTGAGGAGCTTGCTGACGGAGATGGAGCTGGTGACGTAGAAGTGAGGGTTGGTCTGGGTGGACTCGACCAGACGGTTGGCAATGGTCTTGCGCATGCCGCTGATGGGGATATCCTCGTAGGTAGCGCTGGGGGCGCTGCTGGCGGCAGGGCTGCTGCTGGCCTTCTTGACATCCTCCTCGGTGATTTGACCGTTCTTGCCAGTACCCTTGAGGCCATCGATGCTAATGTTCTTCTCACGGGCAAGTCGCTTGGCGGAAGCGGAGATGTTGGGGAGACGGTCGAGAGCAGTCTGGAGACGGCCCTGAGACTGGTATTGTTGGGGCTCAGGAGTAGGCTCGGGGGCGGAAGCGGACTCAGACTTGGACTCGGACTTCTCCTCCTTCTTGGGGGCAGCGGGCTTAGCGGCGTCACCACCGGCGTCCTCAACGGAGAACTTCTCGAAGGCGGAGATATCGGTACCCTCCTCAACAAGGACGGCAATGGGCTATATCAGAGAATTGCATGTTAGTGACATGATTCAACAGCAGTGGGTGATATCGAGCGTTGGAGGTAAATACCCCGAGGACCGAGAGGTGACCTGAGTGGTTTCAAAAAAATTGAGGAACTTACACTGCCGACGGGAATATCCTTCTCACCAGCATCCTTGAGGATCTTGGCAATGACACCCTCCTCCTGGAACTCGAAGTCCATCTGGGCCTTGTCGGTCTCAATCTCTACCAGGACATCACCAGGGGCGATAGAATCACCGGGCTTCTTCTGCCAAGCGCCAATGTTACCAGCCTGCATGGTGGGCGACAGAGCGGGCATCTTGATGACCTGGTGCTCGGGGAACGAGGCATAGTGTCGCACAACGTGGGCAGCGAAGCCGGTTCGCAGGGCGCTGTGGGTAGGGGCGAGAACGCGCCTTCGGAGAGCGGCGCTGAGCATTGTGGGAGGTATTAAGATCTTTCTGAAGGACAGAGATGTTAGTCGGTGATGGGCATGGGGGGGAGCGCGAATATGAACATGGCTGAGCCACTTTTGGGGATTTTGGGGGCTCTGGGAAAAGGACTCACCGGCCGGAAGGGCAATTGAAAACAGAAGTATCGAGATGCGTGACTGACGGTCACGAACAGAAACTCGAGGAGCGGAGCGAAGAGATCAAGGACGGAGAGTGATGCAGCTCTGGCGTGAGAAGGAGAGGGAGAGAAAGAGTCGGGATCGGAGGAAATTCTTGGGGTTGGATAGACGTGGAGTTTTTTGCGTGTTGAGCTCCGAAGAGTGAGGTACTTTGAAGCTTTGGCGTGGGCTAAACCATTTCGGGACTCAAAGTGGCTGCAGGGGCCTTGAAGAGAACCCAGCGTTAGTGGTTCTCAAGTTCCGATGCGACCGTTGAGAGGACAACATTTGGGCAGATTCAGGGCATTTGGGGCCATTTCTCAAAGACTTTAGGGGATTGATGCACTGTAAGCTACTGAACTTTAGCCCTCATACACGGGACTGGGATGACCCGCCAAATTGGAAGGATTGGAGCTCGCAACAAAAAAAAGGGACGTGAACGCCATCATGGTACCTTGGGTTCGGGGGATCATTACGCGATATGAGCGAAGTCCGGGTGAACAAGAATAGCGAACAACGCATGTGTAAGTCAGTGAGAGTTATCAATGTTATAGCTGAAGCATTCTTTTGCCAATCGCACTCTATTACCCCACCCAAGTCCCCCAGCTTGACCGACATGTCTATACCTCAATACTTCCTGATATTTATGTTGAGACAATTATCAAGGCCCTGCTGAAGTATCTTATCTCGCACTCCGGAGTTGCTGAATTTTCTTCGGGCAAATTGTCCATCCTGACTTCGGGACAGATCGGCCCGGATTGTGGTGGGGTTCAATTGGTCGATTTTTATCCAAGTTTTTGTCTGTCCACGGGAATAAACACTCTGGAGAAGACCCTTGATGACTTCAACTGCCAGATGCAAACACCTCTTCCATATGGAGAAAAAGCATTGTTAATAAAGTTGCGGGGTGTCGTGACATGGAACCCGTGATGCTCTATGGGCCCATTCGTGGGCAGATGATTTTGAGCAGCAATAACTTCTTGTCCTGAGCAGACCACGATCAGTCACTGCAAGTAGTCGGTAGTTATCAAACATTCAGTGCCAACTCATGATCATTAATGGAAGAAATCTAAATTATCATCATTACATACATCTAATATGCGAGGTATCAAATCATCTTTATACTTTTCCACGCTCTCATAGTCCATTACAATCTCAACTTCCACCAGCCCACCATACTTTCACCATCTCTTTTGGTACACTCAATGCTGATGAGATGGATCTCTTTCTATTGGGCCCATTGGTCCCCGAGGAGCCCTTGGAGCTCTTCGATTTTGAATTGTTTGTGTGTCCTTTAGTAACCAGCACCGATTTCCTTGGGGTACCGTCTTCCCCAAGCAATCCCGTTCCTTGACGAACCACTCCGATCCGCTCTTTGACCGGCTTTGGTGGTGGTTTTGGAGGAGGCAGTGGCCTCATTTCCACTTCCTCTGCTATATACTCCTTGCGAACGATTGCACGGATTCCGAAGTTGCCTTCTTCTTTCTTTGTCCGGCCGTCACGTCCTCTACCTCGTCCTTTACGGTCGAACCCAAGCTGGAATCGTTGCGGTGTATCTCGCTCTGTAAAAATGGCTTCAAGCTCACTGTCTGGCTGCCATTGTGCGGCTCGGGGAAGTGATTTGAAAAGATTGCCATCAACAAGAAGTGCTGTCACAGATGCAATGGTCGTTGGCGAACGAGGAAGCCTGATCCGCCTCCAATAGATCCACGAAATGATATGAAGAAGCACCAAGGCGCCCACGATGCCCTGTAGAATTCGAGTGGCGATCGCATCCTGTCGAAGGCGAACACTCTCTGTGACTTGACTGCCACTGATAACTGGGACGGCCTGAGAAACCGGCTCATCAGGATCGATACCGCTGACAATATTTGTCCCATCTGCGACTGGGAATGTTCCTCTTGAGGACAAACGCCGTCGACTCTTGAAGTTCAATGACTGTGCCCTAATGATTCCGTGCTGGGATAGTATAGCAGACTGGACTTCGTTTGCGGCACTGGGAGTTGAGCCACTGAATGTGCTGTCGGGTATTGCGAACTGAGATGCGTTCAGCATTGCAAAAAAGGTGTCAAGGAGACCGTCTGAGGTTACGTTGATGAGCTTTGAGTAATCGAGCTCTGGAATGGCGACAGTCGTGTCCTGGGCAGTGCTTTCGACCGGAATAGGAGGATGGTCCGGATAGAGACGTAAATCGTCGGGTCCGTGGAAGAGAACATCGACATCAACTGCTTCAATGGATTCGTTACAGGCAAGGGCATTGATGCTGCTCACTGGCATGTCACTAATGCCCACATCGACTAGTTCTCCCCATATGTATAGCCAGTCCGAACAATGCGGCGATGACGCTGTCTTTCTCAAGCCGACACCGAAGAGTGTATTCCTACTCAGGCTTCTGCCATTTGCAGGAAATGAAGTCATTGTCGTCCCAATAATTGCATTGCTACCATTGCGCTCTCCAGTTCCTCGGCAGGTCTCGCCTTCGAGATCGACACGAAGTGGATTGACTATCCTATCGTCAAGTTTGTACTCGAGGGTGAGGTTGGTGGAAATCTCATCGGATTGATACAGTCGGCATGACATGTTTG